TAAGTGCCGAAAATATGCTGGATCTGGCTACTGTGCGCTAACAGAGTTGCTCCTTAGGAGGATGGGCAAAATACCCATTCATGACTATTGGACGCCCACATTCGGTTTGGATAATGGCCGACTGCAAAGCGCAGACATCTTGATAGCATTTCTGCGAGTGCTACGTGTTGCATTGTTAGATTCTTGAATGATGGGAAAATAGCTCTTTAGGCAAACAAATTTTTATCTTTTTTTCCAAGTCTGGGGTAGTGATAATTGAGTGCAAAGTTTTTTGAGGATGTGAAATTGTAGAAAAGCTATCATCGATGACTATTGTAGCTGAAAATTATAAGGATAAGCTAACTTTAGATAAATCTGGGAGATACTTGTTTCAGTGAGGTAGGTATACTAAAAAGGAATTTTCTGAACAATGCTGATTGTTAACTTTGTTTCTATAAATGTGCTTTCTCTCATGGAGGAATAAAGAGCAGATACCTCTAATTTTTTCTGCAAACGCATTTCATTCACATAAAGAACTTACTATGATTTTAACGTGTACTTTGTGTTCAAATACCATAGAAAGTCATCTCATTTGAACTTCCTTGAATAGTGCTGAAAGAATCTACAAAATCAAGCCGTAACATTTAAGATATTTTTGCCTACCATAGGTAACACCATTAAAGAGGACAAAAACCACCTAGCATAGAAATAGAAAAGTTGCATATTGTTTAAGGATAATTTTACAATATGTGTTTTCAACTCTAAAACTCGTCTTTTTACTTCCTTAATTAAAGGGAGTACTGTAATCGTGGAAAATTTATGGTATCACATTGCAAAGAAAATATCGAATTTGACCACTTTTCGAATTAATTTGAATGATTTTTTTTTTGCGGGACACCTGTACTCATGGACGACATAAAGGGATATTTTTCTCAAAGCGGATTTTAGAATGGATTTAAAATGGATTCAGAAGAGATTTTTTTTCGGTGACGTCTGACGTATGTACAGACATAATCGTTTTTGAGTCATACTACTACATACGTATGTAGTAGCATGACTCAAAAACGATTATACGTAGAACGTTAAAATTTCGCGTATGAGATTGCTATAACATACAGCTGTGCACCTCACTTTTTTGTTGCAATTGGCCGCACCAGACTTATATGAGCTTTGTGCTTTTATGCTTATATGTTATTAAATTTCCCACTTTCTGCTTTAAAAGTGATTGAATGCTGTTGTTCTTATATTCCAGTTAAGGTTTTTATGCCTTTATTTAATCTGCACGCAATAGTTGTAGAATTATCAACAATTCAAAAATTGTTTAAGTGCGGCTAAGCCTAATTTTTATTTACCATAGCAGCCATATTTGTTTACATTTGAAACTTAGCAGAATAGTGAATTCAGTTTCTGCACCTTCAGTGTCTTTTTGCCGAGTGGGACTAAAATTAAACTTTCATTTTTGTGCATCGAAAAATCTATCTTCTTACCCGCTAGCCGAATTGCTTGTTTTTGAGTAAAAACTCTAATTTTAATTGTAAAAACTATTTTTTTATTGTTTTAACTGTATTTGGTGATTCTTTTTTTTTTTTCCTGTATTTTTCAATTTTTTATGAAGAAAGTTTATTTCTAAACACCTTTTATTTATTAATTTATTTAATTTTTTGTATTAATGCACAAAACAAAATTTTGAGATCCTTAGCTATTCCTGATACAAAAATTACTGAACTGATAACTTTTAATTTTTCTATTTACTATTGTAAATGTAATTTAAATAAGCAAGTTAAATTTCGTAAAAACTAACTAACAGCATTGCTTCAGGATACAATGAAAGAGAAAATAATTCATTTGAGAAGCGAAAAAAAAAAAAAAAGAAGATAATATATAAGCTGCGTTTTAATCATTTGTAGGTACGTATTTAACGTTTAAAGAATGATAAATTTACACAGTGGTCATTGAAACTACGAAATACTCTTTATAAAGGGCATCTTGTATTTATTTCTTGTTACCTTTTAATTCTTAGAGTCACGTCTTAAAGGAGAAGTCGCAATGTCTAATATTAAATTGTCTAAAACGTATTGAGCCTCTGGGAATCAAAATCGAGAATTCATTTATTGTTATTGAAAAACTACATTAAGAAATTACATATAAACCATTTTATTCGATGATCTTTAGCAGTTTTTCCGGAAGCACCACAATCCCATCGCTATAGAGCTTTCGCAGTTTCTAGTAAGAACACTGTGACTCGTGGTTTTCACTGGTCTCTTCTGAAACTAGCTTAACACCATTCAGGGAGTTCCTTACAGATCGAAATAAACCGATGGTGCTAGGCTTGTTGTAAGCTGGATGCATTAAAACCTCTTATTCTCTCAATTTTTGACTGGTCGTTAAAGATGTATGAGGTCTGGCATTGATGCATGAGGTCTAGCATTGCCAATGTGGTATACGATATCTTACCTGTTGACAAGTTCGAGCTTTACTTGTGGATTCCTAGTTCGTGGAGGAGATGCCTAAAGGCAGCAAGGACCATTTCGAGGAACATCTAGAAGAGATCTCAGCAACAGAAAAGCATCTGCGAAAAGAACCTTGACATCGAAATTTCTAGAGGCACAGCGACTAAACCATCTTTTGCGTGTTGCTTTTAATAGCATATCTTGTCCACAAACAGCACAAATTTCTTCACAGTTTTACACAGCATGTGCATTTATTCAAAGCAAATCGTAAAATGAAGCCAAATCTTGCAAAAAGTTCACTCATATTCATGACGTCATGTCCTATGTGTGGTATGTGTATTTTGGTGTATTTAATTATGGCAAAGCACACTAGGGCTATTTGCCTAAGAGGAGGGATGCCTTCGTGGAGGACTTCCTAAAGGAAACTGGCTCGTATACACGTTACACATGGGGAAAAACACGAAAACGCCCATGCAGCCAGACCTTTCGCGGGATTCGAACCTCGGACCAAACTACCAGTGTTCAGCAACTTTACCGCTCGGCCGCTGGTGGGCCTGTCCTATGTTTGAATATAAGAATTCCAAAACTTTTTGCTCTTCTACTAACTTCAAATGCCAGCTGCCTGACCCATGATGTTACTAATGATGTTCTGCCTGACCCACTGTTACTCATATACCTTGAGGGTTTGGACACTAAAGTTATCTGAAAATAGCCAATGGCTCATTTCTTTTTAGACTACTCAATATGATAGTTCTACAGAGGTTGTTCACACATTTTTTAGACGATGTATATTGTATTCACAAAACTAAATTACATAAAAGTCTTGTGTTTTAAATGTTCTATTTGACATCCCTTATTCTGAACTATCTTTCGACACCACAATTTCCAGGACAATAATGCCTTTTGAAGTGGCAGAAGAGATATTCTTTGATGGCCCTGTGGGTAAAGCGATGGTATATCATTCAGAAAAATTGGCGATAAAATATGTTCCTGATAGTATTTGGAGTTAATCTTAACATTTTTTTTGCACTCTCTTTATTTTTAACTTGCCATTATAAGAAAAACCAGCAACAATCATGAATCCCTTAGAGAAATTTTCTTTCGATTCATTGAACCATGTACTTAATTTTCTTTTCTCCTCTTTTATGATAATAAATGGCTCTTTTTTTTTTGTTACAATCATTTAAATACACCCATGCTTCATCTATTGTGACAATTGTTTTCCATTTTTCTTTGGATAAGTGTTTCTCATATAGAATTCTGCAGCGTGTCCTGCGTTGAGCGATATGCTTTGGAAGAAAACGATGCATAACATTGCGTTTTTTCGCTTTCTTAAGATTTAAATCAACGTTTATCATTTTGTTTACAGTGGACATCGAGCGTTTTAATGATTTTGTAGCTGTCATTTGACTAGGGGTATTTTCTTTTAACATTAAACAACGTACCTTTGCAATAGTCGAAAATGTCCGTTTTTTCCTTGGATGCTTATTTGAAATTTTTGTCCCACTTGAGGCTAAAATTTGACGTTTTTTTTCCTTTCTTGTTGATGATAATACTTATCGACGCTTTAGATATCACAAAACCATGACTCTCACATCGTTTTTGGATAACGGAGTATGCATATTTCTCTTCGGAAAGAGAGTAAAAGTAGCCTTCGGATCACTGCTTTGTTAAATTCGCCATTTTGAATAAAAACAAAACTTTCAAGCCACAGTCGATAATTTTGACTTTTGAAAACATAGTACGATTGCAATTACTTCTTTTGCAGCAAACGATTTTTTATTACCGCTTACCAAAGTCGTCTAAAAAATGTGCAAACAGCCTCTGTATTCCTGGGATTAAGCACTGCAGTTTTATAAAAGAAAGATTTCTCCACAATCTACAAAAGGAAAAACAAACAGATGAAGAGAGTACGGTCTTCATGTAAGAAAAAGACAAGACTTTGTTTGCTGGCAGTAGATAGAAAACACGGGTTCACCGACACGCGGTGTGGGGTGTGGGCGTGGTCAATGACGTCACACAGAGGGCGGGGCCAAAGGCAACGTCATCACACTAGGAGGCGTGGTCACGAGTGGAGTTGAGGTGTTCGTAGACTACTGATTGAGTTGTAGACCTCCTGCTTTTCATTTAAAGTTAGTTTTTTTTAAATTGGCAACGGGGTCATGGTGTCCTCTAGGCATGAAAAAAGAAAATAATCTATTTAGGAATTGCTCATGGCGTCCTCTAGGGATGAAAAAAGAAAATAATCTATTTTAGAAGTTTCTTTTTTTTTTTTTTTAAATGTTCTATGATTCAAAATATAGGATTGAACCCTGAAATATCTGCTTTTCTGCAAAGAAATAACTGTTAAAAATATTGGACAGAATAACATAATACTCATTAAAATTTCACACACACACACACACATACACATGGGCTTTTATCGAAAGCCTCAGCTTTCTGACACCTGAGGGTCTCTCTTCACAGTTTCACAGTCATGGGGTTTTTTTGAATTCCCAGGTGCCAGCCCCTTCCCACAACTCCACTGTGAAGTCATTGACCAATGATGACATTCAAAAAATATTAATTTACTTTTTCTTTATCAGCCTCTATTTTATAATGACCGTACGCTAGTGTATGGATGCCATCCTCCAAAATATACCTTTTATCGTCGAATGGGGAGAGACTTAATTTATTCTGGCGAAGAGTGAAAAGATGATGTTCTTCACTTGCAATTCTATATTGAATCTCACGTCTAGACTGCAGGTTTTGAAGGCAGTGCTTGTAATTCTCATGCAGGATTTTACTTCGCATGACGTGACGTGAAACGCCCTTTGCCGTCTTCTTCTCCCCCGTCTCCGATAAAAAGGAATACATTTTTGCTCTCAGACCCACAAATTCATAAACCAATTTAGATGAAAATTCATCTTTCATACATCCAATTTTTTTCATGTTTTTCTGACTGTAAAGAGGATGATTAGGGGGATAGTCTGATGTATCGTAAATGTCGCTGCGATGTTTTTCATATCCTCATATACATCCTTCGTACGAATTTCATACGTGAGAGAATCTGTGTCAGTGAATAACAATGACGCATTTTCTCCGTACTCCTTCTTTATAATATTGTAATGGAAGTTGTACATCAGAATTTTACTTAATTCCAAAATCACAAAACCTACATAGATTGGTCGATTCAAAGTGAGGGTGTTTTTCAATCTCTCCACTGCAACAAGATTCTCACTGAAAATTTCGAATCGTTTAAAAGTGGGACATGCTACCAATTTTTCTGCCTTTTTCCGTTCATTCACAAGTTGCACGTTAACATGGTTTCTTATATTTTCCATAGTTTTACCATAGATGGAATTATTCAGTAGTTTAAAGAAATCTTTCTCAAAAGCAGATTTTGAGTTCTTGCGTTGTTCTGTATTAAAATCAATATATGGTTTTAGCCAGGCCTTCTGCTTAAATTTCAAAATCCTATGTACGGCAGTCAATTTCAAACCTTCCTTTAAATAAAATTGTAAGTTCTTATAATACACAATATAATTTTGTTTATGCTTCAAATTGGGGATTAATTTAATTTGGCTATTGAAATTTTGATAGGGGAGGATGTTCTGAGAGAAAGGAGAAAGATCTTCTAAATTAATTTTTAACTTTTCAGGTGCGAGAGGATAATCATTATGAGCGTCATGTAGTTCAGGAGGATACTCCAAATCAACTTCTAAAATATAACCTTCTGTTGAATTTTCACTAATGGAAAGAATCCATTCAGGGGTTACAGCTTCCGCAGAAATCCATTCAAATTCGCCATAGGGTAATGCTTGCGACATCGCCCATCCATACAGGTTATTTGCATCTAGATACATGATATAGCTCTCTGGGTTTGTTGAATCGTAATTTGGCATATAATGATTATTTGCCTGCGCCCACCGCTTTGTAATCACTGAAATTCCCCCTCGTATCCCCTGTTCAATGAAGAGATGCATATCTACATCGGTTAAAAGTTCTAGAGGCTGCTCAATCATTTTTAAACATGCTTGCCAGGACAGACCGGGTGATGTCATTACATGAGCACAATCGATTTCATAAAATTGCAAACACAATTTCCTAAAATTTTCGAATACGTCTGCCAGTTGTAAAACGTCTGATTTCACGTACAAGTCGTGATATTCCCCCATTGTACGGATGTTGAAGCTGTTCCATACTGCCTGTGCATGTTCGTAATCTGACGCTGAAATCTCCTCGTCCGTTAAACTATTGTGAAAGGCGGCAGGAGGTGGTAACGCCGTCTCTTCAAACATCTCAAAGGACTGGATGTAATCGTAAGGGTAAATGCCCTTTTTCAAGAGAAGAGAAAGATCCCCTTCTCTTACATTTTCCTTTAAAATGTTGAATTTTTCTGCAGGCAGATTTTGTACCAGTTTTTCAAGAGATGTATTCAAAAACTGGAAACTGTCGATGAATTGTAAAGAAACTTTGATCTTATTGTGTTTCTTGCTAAGGGCAAAAGTGATATATTTTTCCATATTCGTAGCGATGACTTCAATTTGATGGTCTTCGATCTTCTTTCCCAGTCCCTGCATTATATGGTGAGCGTCATAATGCTTCAAATTATGGAAGACCACCGGTATCTTTTTCTGCAAGCGATATTTCAGATTGCATAAACTGTGTAATGCTCCTCTGTAATGTCCCGTCAAGTGATCGTGATCGCGAACGCGATCCTTATAAAGAGGCTTCTTACACAGATTGCAAATCGTAGCCGTTAAAAAGTCCTGCTCTTGTTGTGGTGTCATAATTAATGGAACGATGTGAGTTAATGTTTCCGCAAGTTCATCTTTTTCACGGATGATATTTTGCAGAAAATTATCTACGGCATCTGATCCTCGATACACGTGAGCAGGTTTTAAACTCTTGCCATCGGGACCTATTATGATGTAAGCGTACCCGCAAGCTTCATGCTTCATAATGGGTTGTGTGTATGAGGTAGCATGACTCGGTTCCGACGTATGCACTTTTTTTTGACGATAGCCTCAAAGTCAGCATATATGATATATGGAATTGGATGTTGGAAATGTTGATTTCTAAAAATGAAAGAAATTTATCTTCCTCTGAAGGCATTTTAATATGCTGCGGTGAGTGTTCTTTGCAGAACGTTATATGATTTTTTAAATTTCGCTCCTCGAAAATCTGTGGAGACAGCGATAGCAGTAAAAAGGTGCATGCCTTATGACGTGTTAAATCTCCCATTAACCGCGAAAAATTTCTAATGAGGCAATAATGACTGCCTCCTTCATTAGAAATGTAGAGCAAATTAATACAGTCCTCATTTTCTTGAGGGGATACATAGAGGGGGGAACACTTCATCATCTTCATATCCGAAGACGTTAATACGGATATTATTCAGTCTTTCAATGACTGGTATTTTCGTGACTGGAACGGGACACTGGATCTTGCCTAATTTAATATCTGCTTCATAGGGTATGTAATGACTGACTCGTTCAGGCTTATTTTTCCAGTGAATCTTCATTTTATGTGCTAGTAGGCACCATACGAAGCATTTTAAGTCCATGTTCTGGATATTTAAAACGGCTTTCTTATCAGCCAGCTTTTTGGGAAGGGGGATGTAACTACTCGGGGCGAGCGGATGATATTTTGCCACACATAAATCTAATTGATTTATTTTATCGAGAATCCATCCCGATCCCCGCTGAGTAAATGCTTCGAAGGATTTCAGAATTTTTTGAAATCCCTCTTCCACATGACCTTCCACAGTTTCCTCCATTAATTCAATAGCACATTTAGATCGGAAATGGGGAGCAATAGCATCTAATTCCCCATCCCGTGTTGTGCGTGTTAAATGAACTTTTGCCACGACATACCATTTAATAGCGGATTTGTCGGCTAATTCTTCTTGTAATTTTGATGTAATTTGGGGGCGCATCTCTTCAAAACATAACAAAAAGTCGGACGCATTTTCCTCAGAGGGTGTAAACGTATGTACACTAAATACGTTTAAAGCACCTTCTTTCCTCATTTTTTTCACGGGACGATAGAGCGCATCGACCTTCCTTTTAGTGCAGTGAGCCGTGCGCACATGTTGTAGCAATTCACTCTTTTGAGTGAACACTTGGTCGCAAATATTACAAGAGTGTTCTTTAGAAGGCTTGATATGGGTCAAAGCATGACGTTTCAAAGTCAGAATTTCTTGCAAATGCTTTCTGACAAACATCGCAAGTAAAACTTTTTTTCTCCGGTATGAGTTTTCATATGTCTGGTTTAAACTCTCCTTGCGGGTAAAGAATTTAGAACAGATGGTACAGACCTAGGAAAATTAAAGGGGAACCCTATAAGTATACATCTTTTCAAGGTGTATGTTACATATTATATAAATATGCGTCACGCAAAGTGTAATAAAAATTTCTCATCTACCCCAACTATTTCACATAACGCGCTTAAACATAACAGATATAACTAAACATAGTTTCCTCAAGATTTAAATCCTTTCGCATTTAACTCAAAGATACGGAAAAACATGAAGTGAATAATACCCTGAAAGCGAGCAGTTAAGTGAGAATCTTTACAAATACGGAAACGATCGCTGATAATGATCAGGTAGAAACTCTTCACAAAAGGGTCACGTGTGCAAAGCTGGTTAAAGTCACAAAGCAAGATTGCCAATTGTATCGTTACTTAAAAGATAACAAATAGAATTCTTCTACCTACCCCAAAACAAGAATATATTTTCAATAGAAAGTGTGTATCTAAAATATTTAACTAACTACCGATATTTTTTCTTTTCTAACATTTAATGTATACATGGATTTACGTTGCATTTCAAGTACTGAGAAACATAGTTATTTCGGAATTTAAGATTCATTCATGTCTTAAGCGTGTAACGGAGAAGGATTATTGTTAACATACTACATTTTCTGATACCTTTCTTAAAACACAACAACTTTGCAAATTATATGCAATACATAAAACTGAGAATATAATATAAAAAATCACGACTATACACATGTAATTAAATATCAATACCTCTTCAAGAAACATTTATCAGCGTTAACTAAGTTCACGTTATAAGTTTTAAACTTTCGAATGAGGTACTAAAACTTCTAAAACTTCAAAACATACACTGATACTAAAAATTCACACCGTAAATCATGTAAAACATACCTAACAAACTGAAAAACTTAATCTGTAATAATCCATTTTAAAACTTTTCCCTCACATAAGAGGTCCTGAAGGAATGATCCACCCTAAAATAATTTTTGCAAAATAAAATTTTTAAAAAAAAAAAAAAAAAAAAAAACTTACATGTTCCGGAACCATACTGATTATCAGATCTCCAGCAACATCATTTTCAAAAGTTGACATTTTCAATTTAGAAAATATTAATCAGGAAGACTTGCTCTTTTCGAGATTGTCGAGCGAACTGACTTCTTCCATTTCTGAAACGACACAGCGTTTTTATAGGGATTAAAGAATGTTCTCCAACATTCCAGATTTGTGTAATCTGAACCAGGACAACAACAACATCATTATGATAACCCTTTCTTTCGAATACGATTTCAACTTCCATTAACCCTTATCATAACGTGAAGTCTACAACGCTTATCAAGGATCTTCCTTCACTTCTGTATGTATTGTCAAACTTGGAATAGCAACAACAACCTTAAGATAATACATTCTTTCACATATGATTATCAGAGTTTTAGAAATTTTCCATTACTCTATCATGATAAGTGGATGATGCTTTTAAGATTACCCTTATGCATATATGTAATGTCAAACTTAAGAATAACAACTCTTTCAAATAGTTTTTCAGTGATTATCAGAGTTTTCCATTAACCTATCTTACCATGATAACGCAATAATATAATGACGCCTTATAGACTGTCCTTCCCAAACAAGACAAGACAAGAATGTATTACGATAAGTGTTGATGAATTATATTGGTGAAGATATATTTTTATGTATTAATTTTAAAAATATAAGAGATTCTTTAAGGCAGAAAAAAATTGTTCATTTATTTTGTGATAGGTTTTTTGAATCGAAATGTTATGAAGATTATAAAAATGCATTAATATAAGTACAGCTATTCTATTTAAATTTCTGTGTTTGGTTGATGTTATGACTATTTTTTTCCTTATGTTTTTAATAGAAATATATTGAAATTTTAGTTTTAATTTTAAAGCAAACGTGTATATCAAATGTCAGTAAATGGATATTGCTGTTAATTTGATATTAACTAATGAAAGAAAATTCCAAGTATATTTTATGTATAATACAGAAATTTATTCTTTGAAAATAAATGTATTGAAAGGTAAAAGCTTCTTGGTGAAATGAATGTTTTTCATAACATTTAAAAACGATGTAAAACAAATATTGATTGTAGAGAGAAGAAAGAGTCTATATGTAAAAATAATAATTTTATTCATTTAATAAGGTTCCCATTTTCGTGGAGAACGTATATGTTTTTACAGATTTAACATGCAATATTTTTTTTTTCATATTAACATCATGATTCTGTAAATTTTCATTTTTGATATAGTCCATTGGCATGTTGATTTCAGTCAAGGCTTTTAAAAATTCGTTTTTAGCAGGAATATTAATCTTTTTCTTTTTGGTTGTAAAAAGGATATTGAATAAGTCTATAATATTTGAATGCTTAATTTTTTCCTTATGATAAAGTACCTCGCCTTTATCATTCCACTTAAGAATATCAGGATGTCGCTTTAAAATAGCTAATGCATTTTGTGCTTTTCTTCTCATTCGTAAAGGTACACTGTCTAAGATAACAGTAGAATAATCAGTTACAGTCATCTGTTTGTCGCCGTCTGTCACAGAAGAGGGGGCTTCTTCTTCTTTTCCTCTTTCACTTTCTTCATCTCAGCTGAATCGCCTAAAGAATTTTGTGAGTCGTCTTTAGGAGGTTTAAAGGGTGAATTGTATTCCTTTAAGTTCAATTTCTTTTGTAAAAGTTCATAATAACGCACTAATTTCTCACGATCGTCAACTGAACTGTTTAAAATATGCATCATGGCTTTATCCAATTCACTTAACTGTTTATCAGAAATGGTATGCTTTGTCATCATCTCTTCTGGAACTAACACATATTTCTTAGTGAACTCCATTGATTAGTCCTGTAAGAACACTGAGAGCAGCAGGAATCAAAACGTTTAGAAAACCTCCTTTTTGTAAAATTAATTTTCGTTTCTTCTTCACAGAGAAATCTTACGATTTCCTAATTTTCGTAAAGTTGTTTTATGCTTACAGAGAGACTTCTTTTTGTTGCTCTGACAATGGAACGTTTCCTTTGAGTATGTTTAAACTACATTCGCATATAGCTTTTATGCAATTGATATTAATTTTCTTTAATAGCTGTTTCCGTAACTTTAACGGACAAATGTTTAACAGCTGTAACTGTCTTAGCTGTTTCTTGACCAGCGTCATTTTATAAAATGATGATGCATTTTATAAAGCTGTTGTTTTTATTATTTTTTAATAATGTTTCATTTGATAAACATACTGTACTTGGTTAGGTAAAATTTGGGTGCGTAAACGTAATTCTTCCGGAGTTTCACTGCGCAGATCAATGAATAAATAAGAAAAAGGTTTCTTGGTTGCATCTTCATATACTTCTTGAAAAAACTTTAAATGACGCGGAAAGAGCTGTTTTCCTAAATGTACGATTTGACTGACATCTCTTCTGTTTTTACACAAAATCAAATAGTGTGCATTTAAAGTCACTTCACGCATTTCTTTTCCCTTGTGAAAAAAGTAAAAAGTTTTGTGTGATAAAAATAACGCTTAAATTTAAATGATGACTTCCTTTTGTAAATAAGTTAGTCAGACGTTTATCATTCCCACATTCGCTCATCAAATCGTCTATGATGAATAATGTGTTGGAACCTAAATATTCTTGATATTTAATTGGTAAACCTTCGACAAAAGTAACATT